TATTTCCCTAGTGTGGCTGTCAGAACCTCAGGGGGTTGCTGTGCAAAAAGCACAATTCCCATGAAGAAAACTTCTTTTGGGAAGAAAAACCCTACAGGGGCCTTTGGGAATCTCTGCTCATCTGGAGGGGAAATGGGAGCTTAAATATCAGGTTCTGGCCAATGTGGCGGCACACCATCATTCCAACAGTTGGAGCTTAGGCAGGAGGACTGCGGTGAGTTCGCAGCCAACCAGGCCTATCTAGTGAGTTTGCCACCAGCCCAAGCTACACAACAAGACCTTGTCTCAGAAAACAAAATCAAAAACAAAAAAAGTCAGGCTCTGAGCAGTGGCTGCGGTTAAAAGAGTAAAGACCTCCAAAACTTCACAGTGGTGAATGGATGAGGGCTCGTCTACACTTTCAGCCTGCATGCAGCAAGACAGACAGGGCCCTAGCCACCCAAGGTTCTTCCCTTAAGGAAATTTCTGCTTCCGTTCTCCAGAAGAAGGCCTGACATCTCAAAGCTAAGGGCAACTCATGAGCAGTTTCCAACCATCGTGCTTCACTCAGCATACAGCTTGCCTGGCCCTTCACCCCCTGGCCCTTCACCCCTCCCTTTCTTCAAAAGGATCTTGCATCTCTGAGACACATGATGTTTGATTTTTTTTTCCAAGAGCTTCATTCTCTTCCAGGAGATCATCATACTACACAGTGGCTCCGTTGCCTGAGCAAGGGAAGAGGAGCCCTCAATATCTCACAGGAAAATAATAGCTTGTGCTTGGGGATTCCAAGATGTTTTACTGCAGCTTTTCACAAACTGATTATATTTAAAGCTCCCTTGAGAGGGGTTAGGGGCTGGAAGAGAAGAAGCTTCAGGAGAAGACCTGTGTTGGCATAAGTGAGAAACTGCTCAGACCTCCCTGGGGAAAATGCTTGTTTAAATACCAGCAATCAGCACTCCCAAGAGCATGTGCATATGCAAGAGGAGGACTGAAATTTCATCTGCAGCACTCACAGGGTTCTGAAAGGGTTAAACTGTTCAGGCAAAGGCCTGAACTTTTTCTATCAAAAATGCTCCAGATGGAAATTACAAAATTCTACTTCACAGCTCTGTGATGCACACATACTCTTCTCTTAAGACATGACAGAGAGATAGAGGAGACCCTGAATGTACTCAAGAAAAAATCTGACTGCTCAGTACACAGTGGCACTTTGTTTGAAACTATTCCTCCTAGAATATCTGCATTAATTGTCAATCTCAAGCTTTCTGGGGGACTATAAAAAATGTAATGTATGGAGAATATAAAAGGAGGCCTTAAGCAAGAAAGGACAATAGCCAGGGCTGTAAGGAACAATGTGAATTCACCTAGATACCACCCAGACAGTCATCTTTGGTACCATGCCCTTTCAAGGTTATGACCATGAACCTGACCAGGGTTGGCAAGAATTTCCAGAAAACAGCTGGATGTAGTGGTTGTGTGGCTATAATTCCAGCCCTTGGGAAACTGAAACATGAGGTCAGCTGCAAGTTCAAAGCCAGCCTGAACTACATAGCAAGTCCCTGGCTAAAAAAAAAAAAAAAAAAAAAAAATTTTGGAGATTAATATATATGAAAACACTTCATAAATTGGAAGACTATGTGGAAAGACTAAGAGTACTAATGCTTTGGAGTTTCACACTGAAAATCATGAACTTTCAAAGGAATCTGAACACCCACAAACCAGAAACAATGATGGTTTTTAAAAAGGGCAGCTCCAGAGCAAGCTGCCTAAGAGGGCACGCCCCTCATAAAACCAAGCTGAGGTCAGGTTGGGCTGCAGTCTCAGAAGCTCTTCAGAGCACAGGCAAGCAGGTGGTTCAAAGGGAGGCAAAAACAACAGGCAAGAGAGTCCTGCAAAGTCCCTTTAGTGCACACTTGATTCAAACCATTCAAACTGAAAAGCTGACCCAGGGCTCTGGGTAGAAACATACAGAACAGTTATGGCCAATGCTTTAACAGTGTACCTGTTGGTTTTACAGAAAAGGAAACTGATGTCCAAACAACCTTTTGTTATTATGGATGAAGTCAAGTTTCATTCCTGTTATTTAGCATCTAGCACTTTAGAAACAGTGCAGCCTTACTAGCCAGCCCAAGGGGGCTCACTAACAAAGGGAACCATGAGACCCCAGTGTTGTGCTAAGTGATTTACATATACTGTCTCCTTGAGCATTCAACTATCTTTGGAAGTAGGCATTATTTTGCCTGTAGTTCACATTAAGAAACTGAGGCTGAGGCAAGGCATATAATGAGCGCAAAACAGAGATTTAAACCTGGACTCTTGTCTCCAATACTTATAACCACCGATCCAAACTGCTTTGTTGGCATAGCAATTTTCTTTTTTATCCTGGCATCTATGAAAGAAGTAAGGCTGTGAGCACTGAAAGATTCATAAGACACATAAAAAGCTGAAACTCAAAATTCTGACTCCAGGCTTCTGGCTAACTAGAGACATGGCTAACTCTGAACCCAGACCCTTTGTCTCCAGAACATAAGCTTCTGGAAGGTGTGGAATTCCCTCCTCTTCACAGCTGTTCCCAACCCCAGAACACAAAGTAGGCACTCATTAAGCATTTGAAGTCAAGCTGCCAGATCTGGCTGTGTGACCTTGGAAGGGCTCCCTATCTTTTTAAGCCTCAGGTTCCTCATATGGTGAATGGAAGGAGCCATACCACTTCCTGGATTAGTGCAATGGTTAAACTAGACCATTCATATAAAGCACTTGGGACAAGATGGAACATAATAAGCACACAAAATGTAAACTATTAACATTATTACTACTATTATTCATTGAAAGATTTGGGCTTCTTAATAAGTTTTTATTTTTTTTTCTACCCTCATCAGATAAGCTTCATACTAAAGACAGTTGGGAGTCAGTAAACCCGCTTCCAGCTTCAGATCTGCTACCTTCTAGTTGTGTGACCTTGGACAAGCCTTTGCAGATCTCTGTATTTTACTCAGCTAGAAAAGGAGGGACCAAACTATTCCAATCCATTGCACCACCACTCAGGGGGGCCCTTGTTTGAGGAAAGCATCAGGTTCTGTCACCTATAAAATTCTATGATCATGAAGCATGTCGATAGAAATATAGAGGAGCAAAGGTTGAAAAGAAACCCCAAGTAGCTGATGGCATTACATCATTTCAGTGAGCAGCATCTGTACATGCAGTGACCGTGAAGCTTTTAATTTTGAGACACTTATGATAAATCCTTTATCAATAAAAAAATTAGCAGATTGTGTTAACACCTATCAGCCCTAAATCTTCCAAAACATAAACCTGTAAAATCACTTTGCATCTTAAGTCAAATGGTAAGCCTCCAGAAAATCCAGGAAAGTCAAAGTTATTAACATTCTTGATGGCAATGGTTACAAACAAGATACTTTTTTTTTTTTTAATGTCCTATCTGGGTAAAACAGCAGGGGGGATTCCCAGAGCAGAATGCAGTACATCTGGACAGGACACAGAGGCCAGTGGCCTATTGTTTACAAAAACAGACCGGATTAAGAACAGTGACAAGAGGCCAAGACCTTAGTTATAACTCACAACCACACCTCTCTCAATCCCAGTTCAACTGAAGCTATCAATCATCAACTCTCCCATCTCTGTAACAAATCTAGCAATATTTGCAGCCAAGTGGATAGAAGATCCCTTAGAGCACCTCCAGCACTGACGAACTGATGACACAAAAAAGATCCTACAGACAGAGTGGGGTACTTCAAACTACCTTACAACCTGCCAAGAGAGAAAGGAGCTGTCCCCTTCAAACTTGACCCCTACTCCTACCCCAGACAATCATTAAAGGGGAGACATGGTCCTTCCCAAGTCCTCTGTGATAGAAAGAGGTCTAGCATTGGTGCAGGGAAGGAAGGAGGGGCCCCTCCCTCTATACTCTGAAACAAAGGAAAACCCAGAGCTCCAACCATGTGGTATAACATTCAAGGCCACCCACCTCTCCCATTCCCCAGCTAAGGTCTCAATGGATTGGAGTCACAAGGCTATTTCCATTGAGTGGTCACAGTGCCTTGCAAATGCATGCTAGGGCTCTGTCACAGGCACAGACCCCTTGTAAGGGGTTAAGCAAGGGCTTTTGTAGGGTTGGTCTCTGACTGACCAGCCAAGTCAGCCAGTAGGCTAGATGAGATAGGACACCTACTTTCTCCGTGTCCACATTTGGCTTAAACCTTCACAATTTTGCAGAAAGGGAAATGGGGCTTTAAAAGCATGCATTCTGGAGCAAGGTGTGACAACACAGAAGGGTTAAACAATTATGTCTTCTCATTTTCCAAACTCAACAACACCCTGAAACCCTAACATCCTAACTGTATTCAGATTCAGGTAAGGGCGGAGGCTGGGTGTAGGTGGCCTTATTCTGTCTATTCTCTGATCTCCACCTATACATGCAGCATGAACAGGGACCAGGCAGGTACAAGGTGCACCCAAGATGGCTAGGGACTTCCTGTGGCCAGTGCCATAACATATCTCATGCTCAAATACAGTGCATCAGAACCAACCCCGCCTCTCCCAAGGCACTTCAAATGGTACACCTTCTCAAGGTTGCCTTTCTCTCTAGATCGCTAGACTCTTCAACCTCTGAAATAAATGTTCAAACACCTGTCAGATCTCAGCTGCCCTTCAAGGACATCTGACCCACATGTCCAGAGGCAAATTGCAGTCTTTTTTCTATCTAGAACCTCCTGCCCCTCCCCCCACCCTGTTCAACCTGAAGGAAAGGGCTGCCAAAATACGGCTAGCCACATACACATTCCTAAAGCCCACTCCAACAATTCCTTCCCCGTGCCCATGATCCCTGCCACTACCCAGCCTTAGGAAGCTCGGACCCTCCCTATGGGAACCACCTTTGGGATCTGCTGACCCCCACCTGCTCCACCCAAAGAAATGAACAGGCTGCAAATCGGGATGGAAATACATGGCTCACCAATCCACACAGCGTGTGCATTTTGCTATTTTTTCATAACCCTTACCTTTGACCTGAGTATCGTATTCTGCTATGATCTCCTTATCCTTTTTGAATTTAGCTGGAGACGTCATGTTTTCCTTTTTTCTTCTAAATTCGAAATGTGAATTGATAGATCCACGGGAAAAATCCAACCACAGAAATCAATACCTCCAAGACCGCTTCTCCCAAGAGCAGAAGGGGCCCCCCCGCGGTGGTCTCCAGCGCTCCGGGGAGCGAGGGCTGCGGCTTGGGCAGGCGGCTAGGACGGGCACATGCAGACGGTGGGCGCTGGGGCCGGTGCGGCGGCAGCTGGATTCTGTGCTAGAGCTGGAGCCGGAGCCGGAGCCTCAGCCTCAGCCTTAGCCAGGAGAACTGCAGCGCCCAGAGGCTGGCCTGGGGTCTGACATCAACGACACAGGAGGGGAGTGGAAGTCCTTCCGCACAACATGGTGTGGGGGGTGCGGGGGTGTGGACGCGCCCAGCTGTGTCCGCGGGAGGGAGTGGGTCTGTATCTGGGTGCCGGGGAGGGCTGGGCGTGCTTCGTGGTTTTTTGTCGCACAAGCTCGAAGATACTGCGAAATCAAATCCCAAACGGGAGCCGCAGCAGTGCGAACTGGATCGGAAGTCGTTTGCTCTGGTTCACTTGCCTGTAAATGCAGGAAAGGGGGGAGGGGGCCATCAGATCAGAGCTCAGATCCTAATCACAGAGAGGGTACGGTAGGGACAGTGCTCAAAGCTCGGCCTGGGCCCATTCATCTCGGCCGAGCGCCTCAGGGCCGGCAGAGCCAAGAGCAGCGAGGTGGGGAGGAAGGAAGCTCCTTCTGGATTTTGTTTTAAGGCTGAAAGAAAACACTTTGGAGCAGCCGCCGGCGCGGGCTCCAGGCAGAGACTGCGGCGGGAACGCGGAGCCCCGGGCGGGGACTGCGGCACCTCGGCGGCTTCCCAAGCCCAGAGAGCGCTGGGCAGCCGCCAGCCTGAGGGGGCCCTCCCAACCCTGCCCCCGACTCGGCCGCTATCCACCCTGGGGAGGGCACCTCCCTGGACATCAAAGGGGATCAAAGCTGTAGAGAGACGCGCCACCCGGGCACAACTTTTCTCCCCTTCCCGCCCCTCCTTCCAGTTGTTTTGTTTTTGGTTACTAGCTTCTCTTGGCAGCAAAATGTTGGGGCGTGGGGGGGGGGGATGCAGGAAAAAGCCTGCTCGGCACGGGACACATCCAGGAAAACAATGTGGTCGGCAAAAGCAGGAAACTGGTTAGAGGCGAGGGTCGGAACCGGGAAAACCGGGGGATGAGGGCGGAAGGCAGCCGTCACCTCCCCTAAGCCAGTGACGAGAGTGACTCTATATGTCATCCTCGGCGTGTTTTGTCCCCCAAGCCCAGGAATCCCAGATACCGCACCCAATCCCAGGAAGGGGTGGGCAGGGGTCGATGAGGGTCGCACTGGGAGGAGGGCCTGGGAGGCGGGAGGGAAGCGGGCGGAGCACGGAGTCGGGCATTCGGCGACCTTCCCTCCTCGGTCGTTCTCGCCCCTCGGAGCACCAGGAGGAGGCTCCCGCTTGTGTTCCCCGCTTCCCGCGCTGGGGGAAGAGCCACGCGGAAGGAGGCGAGAGGGAGCCGAGGTGGCGGAGTGCACGCGGGCGTGAGGCGTGTTCTTGAGGCCGGGCAGCAGCCCGCGGACCACTGAGTTGCACAGCTTGAAGGCGGGAGAGGGCAAGGAAAGGACAGCGTTGGGGTGTGGGGTAGGGAGGGAACGACACGGTCTCCGATGTCGTGTAAAGTGCAAGGACGGGGGCAACTCTGGGAACCCAGATGAGGGTCAGTGAGTGAGAGCCCTTGGGGGCGGACCGGGGGCTGGTCGGGGAAAGACCCCCGGAAGCCGTGTGGAATTCCCATCCTTCTAGGTCTTGGGCTGACTTGGGCCGTCTTGCCAGGGTTCAGAGACAGGGGGAGAGGCCGAAGGGAGGGTACAGGCACTGCCAGCAACGGCGGCCCCAGGCAGCCCGGGAGCCGGAGATGCGGAGGGGGCTGGGTGCGGCATGGAAGCCGGACGAGTGGCGCGCTGGGTGGTGACGCGCGGGGGACACGCCGTCCTGAAAAGTATTATGGGCTGTACTGGGAGATTTGGAGAGGGTCGGGGGCGGGGGAGGGCAGCCTGAGGGACTCCGGGCGGGTGGCATCTGCGCCCTTTCCTTCCCGCTCCGGTCGGGATTTCTTCAGTCAGGGTTCCAGCCTGGAAGTCGGGAAGAAAGGGGGGAGAAAAGGAGCCTTTACCTGGCTCTGACGAGATAGGTCCCAGGCCCCCGACTCCGCTTCCCACTCAGAGCTCTCCTCCCCTCTCTTCCTAGCCACCCGCTTCTACGCAGCTCTACCCCCCAGTCCCTGGAGGAGCCTCAGCCAACTCCGCAAGACCCCGCCGGGAAGCAGGACCCACCCTCTAGCCAATCATCTCCCGCTTTCTATCGACCGATAGGGTCTCCAGCCAATAGTAATAGCCGATCCAGAGAAGCCAGGAATGAGGGGCGGAACAGACGAAATTTGGAGGTGTGACTAGCACTCACTACCGAGGCGTGGTCCCACGGTTAGCTCCTCCTCGGGCTGTCGAATCTCGTAGTAGAATTGATAGGCGGGACTAACATGAACCAACAGCCAACCACAAACTCTTGAGAGACGGCTAGGCCAATTGGAATGGAGTAGAAACTGGGGCATTCCGAGGAATTTTAGCCAATAGAGAGTAGAGCTCGGCGGTGACTGTAGAACGTCCTCCAATAAGAAGTGCGAAGGGTGTATGTTGGCAAGGGCCCGAACCGGCCAAGACAAACCAATGAGATGGGAGGCGGGGCCAAACTCGACCAACCAGAAGGCCAAGCTGATCTCGGCACCGTTACTGGGGCGGGGTGTACGGGCTCCAAGCCATTGAGCTCCTGTAGGTGAAGGCCGCCGGCCTTCCAATACTCGACGTGGGCGGACTCTACTTCTCCCAATCGGTGCGCGGCGCTGGCAATTCAAACTGACAGCAGGTTGGAAAAAGCAGAGAAAGCGGAAGAGGAACCCCCAAATGAACGTGTTCGGCGATAGACTCTTGCGTGGACTTTTTCTAAATAGCGACCTCCGCCCGGCTGCACCACCACCACTGCTCGCTCGGGATCGGCTGCTGCGGGAGAGATTGGAGAAGGCGCAGGCCGGGCGTGCGGAACAGGGGCCGCCGAGGGTTGCCTGGGGTCCGAGTCCTGGGCCCAAGGAAGGTGCTTCGTGGAGACTGGAGGAGCCGAAGAGGAGAGCGCCCTTCCGGACGGCAGACAGCCCGAGGAGTTTCCTCCAATTCTATCTCCTCCCTCCCCGCCGCCACCTCTACTCTCTTCAACGAAAGTTAAAAAGAAGCCAGATTTGCTGGTTCCCGTCTGTTCCCACTAAATAAATAGTATTTTTTATTCTTCCACCGAGAAAGCAGCAAAATACCTGGTTGCTTCCTAGTTTTACCGCTAACGGGAGAATCCAAGACCTCGGAATTCGAGTTGATTTTTCCCCCCTAGGGGAATCAAAATAGGAAGGCTATTGTTTGCTTTTTCAAAAATCCCGCTCCTCATCCTTTGTGGGACGCTATGACCACCAGCAATTGTAGTTTCAAGGACAGATGCGTATCCATCCTGTGTTGCAAATTCTGTAAACAAGTGCTCAGCTCTAGGGGAATGAAGGCTGTCTTGCTGGCCGATACTGACATAGACCTTTTCTCTACAGACATCCCTCCAACCAAGTAAGTCAAGCTAGCGGCGGCAGCGGTGGCCTTTAAATGGGGAACGTGTATGGTTTGGATCTCCGGAGTCAATGGAGAGGTTATCATTTGATGTTCCAACCACTCCCAAGAGCCTGATGATGCCCTTGAAGTAGATCTAAGTGGGCAGACTGTCTGGACACAGTCTGTGGTTTAGCCGAAGTGGTCAGTCGTGATGTAATGCCTCTAGTTCAATTATAGTCACGTGGCCACACTTTCCTTAAGCTGGATCCCTGCCCAACCGTCCTGTTTCACTGAATCAAGCCCATGACTTAGACGCGAGGTAAATTCAGGCAAGATTTTCTGTACTCTTGTAGATAAATCACATAAGATTTTCATATTTATCTGTAGTTTGATACCAAAACAGAAACTATTCTACCGTTATTTGCAAGTGTTTGATACCAAAACAGAAACTATTCTACCGTTATTTGCAAGTGGCACTCTCAATCAGATCTGTTTCCATGATTTAAAATTTGTTTCTCAAGCCCCACCCCCACCCCACTGTGAGAGATACCGAAAATGGATTTTTATGGGACAGAAAGATAATCTTAAGATAATTCTTTATCCACCATAAAGCCTATTTTGGGTATTGCACGTCAGTTTGCTTAATTAAGTGGTTATAAAATGTTTTCTGCCATCTCACTTTTAAGTGAGACCTCCTTAAATTTTGCTTCCTATTTGATAAAATAGCGTTTTGGGG